GGAATCGCGCGTCTCCCGGGTCCTGCCCGGGACGGGGTACCCCCCGAGGCAGGCGGCACCCGTGCTCCGTGGAGCTGGGGTTCTCCCCGCACCCGGATCGCGGGCCCCTGGGATCTGCCCCGAGCTGGCTCCGCTCGGGGCCACCAGGACCAGCGCCTGGTGAGGCTGGCGTCCCCTCGCCCCGCCCCTGCCAGGCCGCGATCGCGGGAAGCCTGGGATCCTGCAACCCGCCAGGACGACTGGCGGTCCTAAATCCCAGGCCCGGCTCTCTCCCGGGCGGAGCGCCACGGACCACAGCCCGGGCTCTGGATGCCCAACCCGGCGCCCCGACGAGAGGCCGGGAAGCGGCCCTCGGGGAACGTCCCGGACACGAGTGTGGACGCGGAGACATGGAAAGCTGGGGAGGGCACGCGGGGCTCAGGTTCGGTGTCACTCACGTAGCCATCCCTCAGCGCCCTGACGGCCGCCAGCGCCCTGGGCGCCAGCGAGCGATATTGGGAGAGGACGCAGCGCCCAGGCTCCACCGCCAGCCCCGCCGCCGCCGCCGCCGCCGCCAGCGCGCACAGCACCAAGGCCAAGGTCGCTCCGGACCTCCTGGGCATCTCTGCTCCTGCGGGAGCCCACCGCATCAGCCAGGCCAAAGACAGGACCCTCTCCCCTAGCCCGATCCCCATTCCCCCCGCACTGCAGGAGGCTGACACCCGGCCGCTGCCCTGGCCACACGGGGGACACACTGTGGACCCCCGACGCCGGCCTCCCTCCCGCACTCTTCACCTGCAGTGAGTCCTGGTGGTCGGAGGCCGGGGCACCTGCGATCCTTTGTCCCTTGGGTGGTGTGCAGAGAGCTGCCCACCTTTGCCAGTGATTTCCACACCGTCCATGGTAACTTTTATGCGCCTGGAGGGGAGATAGTTTTCGGAACATCAGAGCTGGCAGAGACTCTGTGGGATGCTTGCCAGGGTGTCAGAACTTTACCCTCCAGTGGTTGGGTGAGATCACTGGCTGGGGTCCAACCCACAGTTACCAAATGTAGTGTTTTTCCTCTCTCTGCCTTGCATCAGGGCTTTGTCATTTCCTCTGCCTGGGTATCAATATCTTTGTATCATAATTAATAACCAATCCATCCCAGTCTAGTCCTGCACCCCTGTAATCCCAGTGGTAGGAATAACCAAAGTTTGAGACCAGATCAGCTAATATTAGTGAAACGCTATTTCAAAAACTAAATGAAGGGGCTGGGAAGGTGGCTCGGTGATAGAACGCTTGCCTTGCATGCCTGAGGCCCTGGGTTCGATTCCTCAGCACCACATAAGCAGGGAAAAAAAGACCGGAAGTGGCACTGTGGTTCAAGTGGTAGAGTACTCGCCTTGAGCTGAAGAGTTGAGGGACAGTGCCCAGCCCCAGTTCAGACCCCATGATGGGACCCAAAAAAAAAAGCAATTAAATGAGGGGTTGGGAATGTGGTTTAGTGGTAGAGTGCTTGCCTAGTATGCATGTAGCCCTGGGTTCAATTCCTCAGCACTACATACACAGAAAAAGCCGTAAGTGGCACTGTGGCTGAAATGGTAGAGTGCTAGCCTTGAGCTGAAGAGCTGAGGGACACCGCCCAGGCCCCGAGTTCAAGCCTCAGGACTGACAAACAAGCAAACGAATAAAAACTAAACTAAATGTGCTGGCTGCCCAGTGGCTCACACCTGCAATCATAGCTATTCAGGAAGCTGAGATCTAAGGATCACCCTTTGAGGCCAATTCAGGCAGGAAAATGCAAGAGACTCTAATCTCCGAGAATGAACCATCAGCAAACCAGAAGTGGTGCTTTTGCTCAAAGTGGCAGAACAGTAGCACTGAGCAAAAGAGCTCAGGGACAGTGCTCAGGCTCCAAGTTCAAGCTCCAGGACTGGGAAAATAAAACAAAAACCCTAAATGAAGACAAAGGGCTGGAACTGGGGCTGCAATGGTAGAGATCTCACCTCCTGGTACCCTGGAGGCCATGGGTCCAACAGCATAACAACAAAAACAACAAAAACAGATTTTTTTTTTTTGGTTGTGGGGCCTGAACTCTGGGCCTGGGCACTATCCCTCAGCTCAAGGCTAGTGCTCTACCACTTCAGCCACAGTGCCACTTATGGCTTTTTCCACTTATGTGGTACTGAGGAATCAAACCCAGGACCTTGTGCATGCAAGGCAAGTACTCTACCACTGAACCACCTTCCCAGCCCAACAACAGATCTTTTATATGGTTTACCTTGCACTTGGCTCTGTTGTAATTAATGGCTGCATAGGGATCATCTCTTCAATCCTCAAGAACCTGACAAAGTTAAGGTTCCTATCCATTTTACAAGTTGAAAACAGAGACCGAGTTACAAAGGATTTCCACTGCCCCCCTCCCCCATACACAGCTACAACTACTGGGCAGCAGAGGTGTGTTTGAACCTTGTGGAGTTTCAAAGCTCTAATTCCAGAACGACCCCATTATATGTGACCTGGTGTTTCCTTTTCTCTCTGTCTCTATTTCTATT